TCCCATGTAAAGTATAAGGCAGTAGTATTCATGCAAAAGTGGTACTGACTTTTGCTTTGATTGCGTAGTTCATCCTATGTGCGTTATAAAAATATTTGTCCAAATGTCTTGAGTACAGATCTTATAACAGTGATAAATGCCCAACAACAGTGCTGTGTCTTTTAAAAAGTAAGGACACTACTGAAGTGTTTCTGTGCTATTAAACTGGGTGCACAATAGTGGGATGTGTATTCAAATGTCCCTAAAGCCTTATGCAAATCGGTGCAGGACGGATGCTGGAGGACAGACTAAACACATTCAAGTGCACCGTGTTCTTGAATTCCTTTTGATTCTGGCTGTACACTGGCGCTGCTGCCGTGCCCACCTCCTGTTGTTTTGAAGATATGGAAGGAAGCAGCAGTGTTTTGTAGAGCCACTGGGCCAGCGGCCTCTCTCACAACTGCTGCCCATTCAGAGCTGGCCCGAGCCTGGGAAGAAGGATGCCCACTCTGCCTCTCCAATGGACCTCTTTAGCCGCCAGTGTGTGTTCAAGCAGAGGCTCCAATACGCCCCATATCCCATTGTGGACGTGCTCAGGCCTAATTCTAGCCCTACCTCCCTATCTCACCCTGCACCTCACCCCCAAGCCTCACCCCCCCACCTCACAAGAAAGGAGGCGAGGAGCAGCGGCCGCCGGCACAAACACAAAACAGAGCCCCTTTGTTCCCCCCTGCCCCGTCTCAGCGTCCCCAGAGGTACAGAATCCACCCCTCCTTCACAGTGGGACCCCCTAAAGCTTTCACTTCTACACACTGGAAAACCGAGCAGTGGAAGGATGTGTACTGTAGTTCTGCTAAGAGTCATATTGGTTACATACTCATCTCCACTTAACTCAAGCCCAAATGGTTCAGAAAATTCTATCTGCTTCTTCACAGTGAAACAAAATTATTTTGCTTTACAAAAAACAACTTTGTTCAGCCAAGCAAACACACTACAGTCTGGTGAACAGAAATCCATTAAGTTCATTAATACAAATGTAAGTTGTTGAAATCTAGAGACAATATCTAGATGGTTTAGTGGTTATTTTATACATTTGACAGATACACTCTATAGCAATCAGGTTCTTTGCTTACAGTGACTTCTATTGCTTTCAAAAAAGTAGGAATTATAGCAACAAATCATCAGAATTCATCATCAACATCACAACAGGCACTTCCAAAATACAAAGTACCCCATATCTTGGCTGTAATCTGGAGGATGACTGGAAGAAATCACTTGGTAGTTAACCTGTCAGAGGCTCTATTCAGACTCAAGAGGAGCATAAAACCCACAACATGGCCATCCATTATATCACACTGCCACTACAGAAAGAGGACTGTAAGGCTGGTGGTCTACGGCAGTTAGTTAGGGACAAAAAGCAGCAACTCTGATGCTTTGTTCTCACTGAGCAGAGCGATAACATGACAGGGCCTATAACAAGGCGCCCTTGAGTGATTGGGTTTGACGACAGTCGTGGGGTAAAGCTCAGGTCTAATGACTTTGTCACAGTGGGCCGTCCGGGGACATCCATAAAGTGAACGCCATTCAGCCCCCATCTGGCCTCACTGCAGACACACAGCTATTTGGGGAATTATTTTGTGAAAGTACGCCAAAATGAGAGCACGAGTTGAGAGGTTCGTAAAAATATTTTTTGACCCAGGCAATGTCTATTTTTTTGCAACAAGGAAAGAGAATAATTGTGCAACTTGGTGCTGTACGGTTAAGATGAAGACATTATTTGTAAAGAAAGTGTATCATAATAATGCACAATATAATGTCTAACATAAATTTGAACTTCATAAAAAATTAAATTTTTATCTTCACTCAGCATCTAAGCACAACAGTTGCAGCTGTGCAGAGGATTCCCTGAAACACATCTGTGACCATTAGGGCTGCTGTCTAACCGAGTGTGAAAGTGTAATTGTCCCCAGCAGCTTGAAGCCTCGTCTCTTTTCTCATACAAGTATTGAGTGTCTGTGTGTGCACCTAATGAACATATCTATCTTTCATCACATGTACTCATTGCCCTTTACATCTACTCCTACAAATGATAAACAGGGCAAGAGAGTGCATGCGGCCGTGAAGCGGGGGGCACCGCACTAATGAGGACGCACATACTACAGACAGGGAGGTCCATGCGGGGTTGACCTGCAGCTGGACGGCTGTGTGAGGCACAGCAACAGCAGCAACACCCTGGTCTGCACTGACACTAATGCAGAGGCACGGGCCCCTCATGGGCCCCAAGAGACCGGCCCCATCACAGCTGAACAGCACAGAGCAGCACAGAGCTGCACAGAGCTGCCCTTCACCTCCAGCTCTGATTGGCTACACCAGGGGGCAGCGCACGTGACAATGGGACATATGTAGTCATTCAGTCAATCAGCTGCACTCAGTGTGGTACCATGTGATTGGGCATGTGACAGGACAGGAACTCATAACATAGTCATTAGCATTCTGATTTTACCTTTGTTAATATTTATTACAGCTGTCTAACAATAATGCATCGATTTCATGTAGCTCCGTTCAAGACACCCAAAGCGCTTAACAGTTCATTATTCATTCACTTCACTCTCGGTGGTAGTAAACTACTTCTGTAACCACAGATGCCCTGAGGCAGAGTAAAGGTGCCCATCAGCACAATTGGCCCCCACAGCCACCAACAGTCACCCCATACACATGCACAACGTGGGGGAAGTGCTTTGCCTAAGGACACAACAACAGTTTCCATCAAAGCCAATGCTGCCCCCACTTAGTATTTTAGGTGGTCTCCTATATGAGCACTAAGCAAGGCCTGGCCTTGCTCAGGTTCTAAGATCAAACAAGACATTGACAGGAACAGGACAAGTTCAAAACTATATTGACTGGAGGATGCTGGATTAATCACAAGCTATTTAAGAACAGGCAACATCTTTCCTTTTAAAACAACAGGGGATTGCATTAGAAACATTTTGTGTACATTCGACCAATTTTAACTTTAACTAAAAGCTTAACAAAATTAACCAAACAATGAATATGTAAAGCGGCTGATGCTTAACTTTGCAAAACACTAACCAAAAAGAACCAGATGGAACCAGTTCTAACCTTTGAATGATCGGTTTCCACGGCACATTAAACATCTGGACCATTGCCACCTCCATCCTTACAAACCCGACAATAATGTATGACTAAATCTTTCCAGTTCATTTCATTCTATGTATATGTCATCACCAGTCGAACAGTGACATAAACCGTCCCAGAGCCTCTATGAGCTGCTTTGTGCTGTCCGCCCGTTGGAGTGGAGTTCACAAAGTCACAGACAGAGACTTGTGCATCAGCGGCGTTCATTTCTACTTTCCAGAATGCCCTACGTGTCTATACAGCCCACGAACGCAAATAAGTGGCATTTTCCCTCCAACACCCAAGCTTTTCCCATAGCCCACAGCGCACCAGGCAAGCACCAGCCGAGTGCCACATCTTTGGGGTCAGCAGCAGTGTGTGCTGGCCAATGTGTGTGTGGGTAATCCTTAGTTATGCAAATCTCTCTCTCTCTACCCTAGTGGCGTTTGCGCTCTGGGTAAAAGTGAGGATGGCAATACAATGTAGGTCACTATCTTGTCCTGGTTCACTACATTTGTCCCTGTGGTTTCAATGTTGTGTCAAGATGGAGAGGTTTATAGAGGGTGATTCTGAAACTTTTCCAACAAAGTACCACAAAAATAGGGCATTCTCAATTGTTCTCAATCTAAATGGGAAAATGATTTGGGTATACACTGATGACCGCAATCTAAAGTTTGTTTCATTTGGTCTAAAATAACAAAATACCACAACTAACCTCGGACTTGACAATAACCACTCTAAATGCTGGCACCGCCTCTTGTATCCATAGGTTTCAGAATGATGAAAAGTTGGTACCATTGCTATAGCAATCAATAATTCAAAACAAAATATTATATCTTGTGAATGGTTGACCGTCGTCAAAATGGCAGCAAGATGAAACTCATAAATACAAGCTAAATATTGCAAAAGATAAGGTCACAGACATGTGCTGTGGCACCAGAAATGTGCTGCCTGAATTTTAAACTGATGCAAAGTAACTATGAGGCACTGATGAGGGCATATATTGTTATGGCATTTAACAGATTACCCATAGTCTAGTCACAGTGAATAAACATGACTAGAGAAAGTGTGTCAGCCCTTTCAGAGAGCTCCAAGAACAAGGCACAATAAAGAGGGGGTCATTAGCATTGTATTAATTTATCGGGGAGCAGAGAAAGTGCCCAGTCGAACCAAGTGTGTGTGAATGAGGAGCAGGCAGGAGGGGGTGGGGTGCTGTGTGATGGAGGTCCCCCTCGACTGAAGCTTTGACCAAGACTCAGGAGGAGGGAGAGGAAGAGGTGAGGGAGGGAAGGGCTGGGAACAGTGTTTTCACTATAAACAGAGGCTTGATTAAACACATAATATCAGAGGTTACTGGTGAATCTCACAGGGGAATTGTAATCAGATTTTCGGAACAACAGAGTAAACAAACTGTCATTTTTGTCAAACAGAGCAGATCTGTCATAGATACGTCTGTATTCACAGGGATTAAACATGTGTCAAGCAAAGCTCCAGAGGATATGGCTGGGGTTTGGGCTCTTTCTCTTAAACCTCTGTGCTGATGTTGTGTCAGAAGAGGGGTAGAGAGACGGGAGTAGTGCTGACTCCGGAGCGGATCAGTGACACTCGGAACATGAACACCTGCACCTGCTCTCTTGTTACCAGCAGCAGCAGCTCGCGCACACGCCGCGGTCATGGCTCTTTAAAAAGTAATGCGTAATCAACATTACGTTCAAAACGCATTTACAAATGACATTTCACTTCACGCAAAACAAGGAAAAGCCCATATTTGTTGTGAACAGCTTTACGGCATCAACTCGACCCGCAGCACGAACCATCCTGTCTCTTTACAAACTCCTGACAGTGGACTGCCCAGAGCACATGGGAATGATGGTGCGTTAGCTTACCTTGTGTTGTCTCTTGGTGATGCCCTGCACGAAGCGCGATCTTCGGTCTCCAGAGGAAGAATGAAACCGTCTGCAGGGTTTGTTTACGCGGACTCCCGTTCAGCGAGCCTCCAGCACTTGCCTCTGTCACTGGTCCTCTGCTCCACCAGTACAGACACACACAGGCGCGGGGGCGCGCAGCACTGAGGGGCGTGCGCGCGCTCGTTGCGCGCGCTGCAGCGCCGCCGCTCATGTGGGGTGGCTTCAAAGAGCAAAGAAACAACCATTCTACTCAACTCTTATTCATACAGACACGTTATTAGTGTTTTATTAAGTGTCCTGCAGACTAAAAAACACAACATCTGGGCACAGCTGGAGATGTCCTGGGTTAAACAAGTTTTAACGCTTTTGCCCCCTTTTCAATATTATTCATCAGCAGGGAGTAGGCTAAAATTTTTATTTAGTAGCTTTATAATTATTATGACTGGCAAGATGCAATGTCATTTTTAACAGCGTTCACAGCATTTGCATAATCTGAATACTATCTCCTACAATTGATTAATTTTATTTTATTTTTTAATTTTAACCAGATCAGCAAAATACCTGTGTCAAAGTCAAATTAAAATCTATTCACCTCTTTGGCAAATTCACACCAGCTGTTCTCAAACAGTGCTCTGAGCTTTATGTCTCCAGAGCTGAGTGCCCAGATTTTGCCCTGTATAGACTGTACTAATAATCATACAGTGTCCTGTGGGATAAAACAGACATGGAGTTAGGCTACATGATTTGAAAAGGCACATTTCCTCTTCAATCTGCCAGTCAGCCCTGCTTTTCTCTGGGAGCATGTTATACCAGTGCATTATCTCAGGCTTAGCACTGGGAGCCATCTGCAGCCACACACTGCTGCATAAGAGAGAGGAAGTAGTTATTATACTTGTATTAGAAACTGGACAGCATGTTTCCCAGTGAGCAGTTTTGCTGAAATTAGGCTGTGCCAGGTTCTAATTCACATGTTTAATGTAAATGAATAAAAGAACATTGCCTAACATAGGGCTTATGAGCAATATTCCTTTATTTATGAAAAGTATTATGAGTAAAGATGGATCCTTGAAATAGCAAAAGCAGGTGAAGGTCATTGTGTATTCTTAACATTAAACCAGCCCTCCTCATCAGTAGTGTATGGGTGATATAGTCCCTGTACGCTCATGAAATCAACAGGGAACGAATGTAATTGTCCCAGCATCGCAACTCCCATCGCCTCCAGATACTACGTCTACTGCTACCACTCGAATCTCATTAAAGTGTTTTCTTAATTTCCCTCATGCATATTATGTGTAAAATACTCCCTGGGATTTCCATAAGTTCAAGGATACAGCCCCACAGAGATAAAACATGGCATATTCCACGTTGCCAAAGAAATCTAGAAAGACACGTGAAAGACACATTTGCTTCACTGGCATTACCAACTGTGCTTATTGCAGAAAGTCTTCCAAGTGTTACACATGGCAGGTCTATCGCTTGTTTCAGTCCAGGACACAGTGATGTGTGCTACAGTCTTTTCTCAAAACAAACAGAAAAACAGATGTACTACGGACAAACCAACCGTGAAATAACTGAGCTCCCATCAGAGGTCCAATCAGCCTATGAGAAGTAGAGGATAGTCCTAATATACTCCTAAAGTAAAGGCTGATGTTTTTAATGCTATTCTGTTGCAAACCAATCAAATCAACAAACTGGTTGCAAACCCTCCACCAGAAAAGTTACATAGTGCAACTTTATGGACAGTACTGGGAGCGCTGTCATTATTATCTAAAAAAAAATATATATATATTATTTTAATTTAATAATCAACATTGCATACACCTACACTCCTAAAAAACAAAAAAACAAAAAAAAACAAAAAAACAACATTCATACTCCTTCATTAGAATAATTTTTGTTCATTTCAAGCCTGGAATTGCCAATCTCAACTAAACAAAAGCTAAAAAGTAGCCTTGAACTTGAAAACTACCGCTTCGTGACATTCCAAGTTGGAACAAAACTATTTGATCTTTGGAGATGTAGACAGACTAATAATAAAGAGTTACTCAAACATGTATAAATGAAACAAAAGACAACTCCATGTATGTTTTTGATGAGGTAACAACATTATAATATGACTAGAGGTCACAAGAGTCATTTTTTGAATATAGGACCTTTGAGGAAACATAAATACAAGCAGGCCAATTCATTCTGAAAATTTCCCCAGCAAATGTGTTCACATGTGACCTCCTACCCTGTTTTTACCCTGTTGCAAATTCATGACAATATGCATGACTTCAAATGACTCACATCATTTCAATGGTAGTAAATGTCACCTACTCAAATCAAGCAATCACGCTTTGAAATTAGGCTCATAATTTATCTCAGCATCAGGCCTCTCTCTGCCAAACTAATTACGCACTAATAAACCAGGATTATTAGCTGCGGATCAGTGTTCGGTGCAACGGAAACGCAGTCAGCCCAAGAAAAGATCTGACAAAATGAACTGGAAAATGAAGTTGTGAAAGCTACTTGGAGTCCGGGAGAGGTCAAAGGTGAAGACATAAACAACCGTGGATATGATTATGGAATGAAGTTCGTAGGTCAAATCTGTTTACATAGCAGATACATTTCCTCTCCCAGGCTTCGGTGTAATGATATTAGGACTTCTCCGTTTGGACGGGAAGCTCTGTGTTGGTGCCTATAACCTTGTTTACACACCAGGGGCCAGACATGACAGGAATCAAGTCAGCGAGTTGTACAAGAGAGGGAGACACAAGGAGGGCTGCGCAGTATCAATCAATCAAACTCAATGCAACTGGAAACAGGACTAGATTTACAACATGCACTGTCATAAAAGAAAAATGTGAACACGTGTAATAGTTTTGTGTCATTCAAGTTTATTCACATATTTATACAAAATGGAAAAAAGTGACATTGCATGAAAAAAGGGTTGGGTAAATTCTTCAGTCTATTTCTAGAAAGGGAGACACATTTTTTTGCTTGTTAATCATACCAGAAAGCTATAATTTTCAAATTCTGAAACCAGATATTTTACAACTTATTTAAAATCAATATACACACTTGTACTTTATATACTTGTGAATCAAGCAGAATCAGCAGAAAGTTCCCAGCACACTGCAGTCAGGTCATTTTCTGTGTGATAGCCTAATTAAAGGTGCATGAGGGTATGCCACCTGCTTGTTTCCATGGAGTTGTTATTGTTGTGCCTGAAATGTTCCATGGTATGACTTTAAACATTTCCATTTCTGCATTACAGGTGTTTCTATTGCCCCAAAATACAATAATTCCTTCTCTGAATAGGAGTGACTCTCCGTAGATCTGAATAGTAATGTAGTGTAGTGGTATAACCTGCTTGTCTCCCTTGTGATATATAGGCTTAATCTATACTGTGGAACATTCTGGACGTCAGGTGGCAGACCCTTAGAAATATTACAAAGTGCAAATGAAAAATGAAATGAAAAATAAAAAAAATATAAAAGGCTGAGTGACTGGGAGCAACAATAATCTCACATCACAACACAACTCAAAAATGGCACAATGGAAGGCAAAAAAAAAAAAAATGTACCTGACAAAAACATAAATAGCTATTTTATACATGTGTTTTATTATTTAATAAAATGCCGCAGGAACAAAGAAGAGCAAGGTTATGCACCCGATGACCATATAAAATATTAAATTCATGCTCTGTATTTAGAAAACAAACAGCCTATCACTAATGCAGCTATTTGCTCTGTATCAATGGGCACTTTATGATCTACTTGAAATGTAATAGGTGTCCTCTCTGTGCATTAATGCGAACAGCTCATATCCTTCGCCTATAGCACACAGCTGATAGTCTGGAGTGCCAAGTGCTTTCTTAAACCATTGTGGTGAGGTCATGCAGAAAGCAGTCTGAGCAGAGCAGTGTCCCGGGCTGCTGCTGCTGCTGCTGGAGGGCACTGAGATCCATCATGGACCCCGACAGTTACCCAGGTGTCCAAGCACTGCACTGCCAAGTCATCTCATCTGGTTGTACGAGATTGGCACTTAAGGTTTGAAATTAGCTGGTGTATGGCAAATGGAGCCTTGCCTGGAATTGTAGGGATGTTTATGTAGAGTCATATTGTAGTGATGGCTACATTAGATAAGGTCAGAAATGGAAGTAGCAAAGCAAAGATTGAGATAGGACAAGTTCAAGGTAAAAAAAAAATATATATATATATATTGTTGCATGCATTTAGTATTGTCGCAATGTAAAAAAAAAAAAAAAATCACATTTCCATAATAAGGAAAAGGCTTGGCACTAGATTTAGATTTTGATACCATAATACTAAACCACACTTATTATATCATGTAATTTCAACAAAAATCTGTTTTCTTATTACCATGTGGTCTTATCTGACATACAGTAGAACATTATAATTATATGTGTGTCTTACATTCATTGGGCGGCGGTAGCTCAGTTGGTAGAGCATTCACCCACTGATCTGAAGGTTGGTGGATCAATTCCAGCTCTCGACATAAACATCACAGTTTGAGCTGTCAGATCCACTGACCCACAGGTTGGCTTGTGTGATTTCAGTTCCCACAGATGAATGCTGTCGTTGTGTCCTTGGGCAAGACACTTAACCCACCTTGCCCACAGTGCCTGTGTACACTGGTGTGTGAATGGGTGAGTGGTTCCTTAGTGTAATGTAATGTTTTTTTCCATACTGTTACCCACTCAAATCATTAGTATCTGTGTATAATTTTTTCACAACCGTTAATTTGAATTTTTATTATTTTCTTTAACTGTAACTAGATACTGAAAATCTATGGTTTCAAACTAACATTCAGTAATTACTAGACTTTGCAATCTCTAATAACTGAAATAAGCTGTTAGTTGAACCGTGACTGTGAGCTGTTGCACCTCTCTCTGTTACAACAGTTATCGACATTTGTTAATTGACCTGGCACACTAATTGACAAATCTTTCCTCCACAAAAAGGATGCAAACAACAATCGACACACACAATAATAAGTGTATGAAAATGAGGTGAGGAGATGCAGAAGATATGGCATGACAGTTTTTTAATTAGGTACAGTTTACAAAGAGCCATAGGAAAGCAGGAGTTGTATGTGTCCATTATTGAATCCCAACATTTCACAGTATTTGACCAGGTAGGGAAAAATAAACATCTGCAGTGCAAAATGAGAGAAAAAATAAAAATGAATGCCTATTTGAACCATGGTAAATCAATAAGCACCAATCTGTCTGTGAACCAGTCCTTCAGAGGAGTGCCGCCTGAATGGCACTTGCTCTATGGAAAATGAAAGAGTGGGCACCTCCAGGTACAAAAGGGAGAAATAAAAGGCTTTCTCAGAGCCATGCATCAAAAGAGGAAGAGGCCACGGTGAACAAGAGCATAAATGTGTAGTGGCCTGAGGGAAAAAACATAAGAATCAAATAATAATGACAAGTAAGTGGTTTAAAATGTCTGTGGACTGAAATACTTTGATGTCTTTTAAAGCAACGCGTTACATGCACATATCAGTTCTGATTCTCAACCTTTTAATTAGACTATCCACCCATCCAAGACACAAGATAAAAATGATCCCTACATACATTTACTTCAGATTATTTGGAGTGTTTTTATACATCTCCAATCATATATGTGGGCTTTTACCATTTATTTCTGGTGCCCCCCATCTTTGGGAACCACTGACTGAAAATGTAACATAGTTCAATTCAAATTTATCAGGGAAAAATTTTAACTAAGGAGAATACGTGAGTGTAGTATACTTCCAAGATCTCTCCCAAGCCTGAATGAACAAATATGAACATGATTCACTTTATTGATCTGACTTAAATGTATGCAGAATCAATATGTGAATCATTGCTTGTTAGGAGCAAGGTGATTTGCTATGGCAACGATGGAAAGAAATTGACATCATGAAATATTGAATGATAATTACAATAAAATTTTTTCCTTTTACTTTGAGTAAGTGAAACTGTTAACAAACTTGTGCCTTTAAATAAAATACAATGTTAAATAAATCAAAGAATACATTAACATCTGATGCCGCTTAACACAATAGTGAATATAGCTGCAGAGTTAAAAAGTGCAATATAACAGTCCTCCAAGCTAAAATGTCCCAGCGGGCAGTGCATGAATTACCCTGATTAAACCATTTACAAAAATAGGAACAGGTATTAGTCAGTAGGTAGGTACATTCAAAACACCAATCTCTGCCTTATGGTCTATTAATTAAAAATACTGTCTGTCAGAATGCCATACAGAGTAAATTTTCCATTTCCTATTGCATCTGAATTATTTACATGAAGTCAAAATTATCAATGACAATTTGTGTTGTGTAGTGTGTACTTGTGTTGCTCATAACAGCAAACACAATATTCAATCAGAACTAAATAAATGAGTACTTTATTATCATTGTCTTCAATATAACTGTGTGACTAACCAAATTAAATGATTAGAAAGGTCTCGTTAGCCTGGTTAGGCTCAATCTTAATTAAATCACAATTGCATTCCAATTTAAACTGAAAAGAACTTACAATGTCAAAAAAATGACTACAATTTAAATATTCATTGCTCTACTTTAAAAACGTACATCACATAAAGCAGCTCTACTTTGATAATGCATTATTTCTCAACGTCAAAAGTCTCGTCATGAATAAATATGAGGTACAGTTGTGACTTAGGCTTTAGACGAATAGGGAAACCCATTGAACATATCTGCCCTGAGTTTGGCCCACTCTGACATCCTCTGCACGGAGCTCTTCTCTCGGCTGAGGATGCAAGCGACCTTTTGAAGTTTCTCCTCGTTCCTTTCGAGGTAACGCATGCACTCTGTCTGTAGCAAGTTGAGCTTCTCCTGCCTGTTCTCATCCATGGAGATCTCTTCACTGAGGTAGGGGTTGAATCTAAAGTAGGTGTCTGGAGGCAAGAAGGCATCCAGCATAGCATGGACTTCTGAAACACCAAAGCGTGAGAGCAGAAGAAAGGTTAGATCAAAACTGAACTAAAAAACAAGCTTGACATTTAGCAAGTACAAAATTATAAACAAATACTTTGGTCTGTAATTATCCCAACGTGCACAAACATTTACAGATTATGCTGAGAGTAAGTGAAGCATGAAAAGTCAGGCAATTCAGTAACAGAAATACAAGTAAGTCAGACAAAATGCTCAGGGCTCATGTGAGGAGTTACACTCTGTGAAAATGTGTTTTATGGAGGTTTTAGCTCCTTACTCCCCTGTGGCGCAAACATCAACAACATAGATTTATATAAACAAGCTCCAGGTAATGCCAAAACACGGACAGAGGAATTCAAAGATGTGTAGTGCCCAAGAAAACAAATTTAAAGTTGACTAGACCAGTATCAATGTCTAGTTGCAAATCAGCTTGCTGGAAAATCATGTTTTGTTTTGATGAAATGTCAAGATACCAAGTTGTAGAAGTTCATAATTATAGGCCAGCAATTCTCACAGACAAACGGCTATAGATGTTAAGGTTTAAGTTACATATTGAGAATGAGTATAGTAAGGTATATCTGGTGGACAGCTCATGTTGTTTTAATGTTGTTATGACGAACTTGAAGTCATATTTTAATAATTTGGACATGTACAAAAGAGATGAGAAACAAATGGGTTGTAGGATGTAGAGCTGAAAGTTGAAGAATAAAAATTAGTTTCATGTAAATTTGCGCTCTGCATTTGACCCATGCTTACAATAAATTACTATTAAATTAAACTGGGACAACCTGAGTAGTGAGTGAGTCTTCAAGAGCTTTATTTAGGCTTGGACAGGTCTACGTGGCTGGAGGATTTAGACTATTGCAAATGGACAGGGAGAGCACACAAACTGAATAAAGAACCCCACCCAGTCTGGGAGTCAAATCGGGGGTCTTCCTGTTGTGAGGTGAGAGTGCTAGCAACCAGTGAAAAAGGAGAGCAGAAGAGGAAGGAAAATAAGCAGTTTCACAGCATACTTGGAACTCAATTTGAGAGTTGCGTATAAAAAACTATTTAAATTTCCCTGTAGACGTACTAGTATTTATGAAATGCAACCACATTGACACTGAACAGCTGTTATATGCAAGCGCACTTAAAGTAACCTACAGCTTCAGTATTTCTTGAATTGCATATATGTGTCATCAGCCAAACAAGAATATGCATAAAATAGGGCGAAAACTATTGACAAGAGTTTAATTATACCATATACCAAACTATACAAAATCCAAATTGAAAAATGTCTGCACAGTGTAATCCTCTTGTAAAATGTACTCTGTGGCCCACATGGATTGGCGGAGGAAACATGAGTACAAGATGAGAAGGTGACTATAGAGACCCCTTTTGCATAAAGCCAACATTAACAGACTTATCTCATCGCCACAACAAACCGAGCTTTCTTTCTGATACAGACCTTAAACAAAATCAGTGCAACCGTGAAACGAGGGAACCGTTTGAAGGGAGTAAATCTGTGATAGACACACTTTGCTAATCTGCTATTGCTAAATAACAAAGCTGTTTGGAGAGATGGGAGGGATTAATCCTAAATACAAGAGGAGTAGCATCTAGGTCAGACTCCACACCCCACAGCAGCAGCGCTAACGGTAACTGCAAGGGGCCTGAGCCAAATTTAGGCCCAGCAGAAGTCCCTGTGTCCAGAGGTGATAAGGAGATGGACGACAAGGCCACTATATAGAGGCACAATGGGAGACATTAGATTATAGTGGACATGCAGTGATGAAAGTCTTAATTTTTACAAGAAAATACAAGAGATGAAAAGTTCAAACGAAGCATATTATGCTAAATCTTCTCATTTACTCCCTAAAAATATATTTAGAGGGATTCATAGATGTTTGAGTAATCTTTATTTTCCTGTAATATTCAGTAAATGAAATAAAAATGCTTGCTACCATGAGCTATGGTTATCCATAGACAGGGCCATCAGCATGTTGTTGTGATGACTTTTACATTGACTCACTATAAAGGAGCAAGCAGATATCAGCTCTGCACTTTTTAACCAGATGTCTGCAGACTTGTTTGTTTTATTTTAGATAAATATTGCGAATTAAAATGTCCAAAATACAAAATAATGATCCCTGTGTGCCATAGATAATACATTTAATTATATAGCAGGCAAAAGCTACGGTGGAGCATTCCATGCAAAGAAATAACATCTCCATGGAAAGAAGCAAGTAGCAGACCCTCCACCTTGACGTTATATATACAGTGCACCTTTTAAATATTTTACATGTTTTTTTGTCTATAAACCATATTTGTATGCTTTTTGAAAAAAACATTTGCTAAACCTTCTCTCCACTCATTTATTCCTGACATCTGTCTTACCCTCTGTGTCAGTAGCGCTGCTGATAACGTTGGTGAGCTTGGTTCTGAGGCTGGTGTAGGTGACGTTGTTCTTGTTTGGATTCTCGAAGCGTCCAGTCCCGAGTGAGACCACACACTCTAGGGGCGTGTCAGGCCACAGACACTTGGACTCATGCACCGCCAGAGCTGTGGGGTTGTTAATGAGAAGACCGCCGTCCTACACAGAAAACACAAGGAGAACCATGTTAGAAACTCAATTAGCTCAGTGCTTTTATATGCTAGTGCAAAGTCAATTAATTGGCATTTGAAGCTTGAAAACCATTTCATGATGGTGGGTCTGAGATATTATTGCTTTGTCTGGAATATTGCTTTTTTGTATTCATTTTACATTTATTAAATTACACATTGTTATTCAAATAAACCCTGAAAAACATGCATTCTTACAGTGAGTGGGGTCAGCGCTTCCCAGATCTGAACGGCAACTTGGCCTTAAATATTATGTGACTTGCAGTCATACATGTTTAATGCTATACTGTGGAACATTCAGGGCAAAGCAATTATTTCAGCTCATAAGTTGTTAGGACACTTTAGTACACGCATACATTTTTATCTAAGTAAAGATAAATACTACTACTAGTGACACAAGCCTTTAACAAGACCTTTACTACCAAAAAACTAGCAGTGCCATAAATTAATTCATACACAAAAATGTCCAAACATCAAATAAGCAACATAGATAGGGAGTTTATTAATATGAAAGTGTGAGTAAATGTCTAATTAGCAGCTAGAAAATGTTATGCATAATAAGAACAGAATAAATACAAATTAACATCAAATTAATCAACTATGCAGTTGAGTGTCCTCTAAAATGAAATGTGAGGGACAAAATTTTAAAAAGCAAGGTGAGTTAAACCGTTCTTTTAATTCTATCCCATCATAGTTGAGGTGAGACGTCCTGTGATATCAACGACCGCCCAGGAGTGCTTTTTCTTTGGGTCTATAGCTGTCCCGAGGTGCAGGGAGTGTAACTGGAGAGACTGGAGGGGACTGTTGAATAGGCATGAGACTGAGGGGCCGCAGGCTGAGGGCTGGCATCAGGATCAAACACAGGGGCCCCTCTCATTAAAGGGGCCAGGTTTAGGGGAGGGGTCCACAGAGGAGCCCTGAAATGTCTAGGGATTCACTCTGAACCTGTTTATGGGACATTTGAGCATGTCGTATTGAAGGATTGTGTCTGCTTTACAATCATGATAATAATCAGGATGCATGGATATTAGCATGCAAAGCTACAGGCTTCAAAAGAAAAATTGCATCAATTTAACATTTAATATTTTTTATTCTCACAAATGTTGAGTTTTTTTTTTTTTTTAATAATGAATATTTGAGGTTTCAGAGAAAAGCTTTTGTTTTGTTTTAAGCTATCATCTGCAATTATCATCTTGTATTTTCACACTTCATCACAAGATGTTCTCTATGCTAGTGCAGTGTGACCCCAAAAAATATTGTTCCATTTTACATACTGTAGTACTTTTTTAGTACTCTATTATTACTTTACTTTAGTATGACTTTACTTTTACTTTAAATTGAACAATAACTCTGATTATTATCAGGCCTAGTTTTAAGAGAAGATCATGATGGTGGGGTGAGATCAAGGATTGGTATTTGCTGTAGCAAAGTCAAAGAAAAAAGATGAAACAGAAGATTAAAAAATATGGTTGCACAGGATTTGTATAAGAAGCTTGATGAGATTACAAGGCAACAACTACATCCCATCTTTTTTGTCCTCAGCAGGTGTATGAGTCTACATTCTGTTAGAGTACATTTGAAACATGCAGTGTAATGGGGCCACCTACAAAAGCAGGTGCCTGGTAATCGTCAAGGGAGCAGGACAAAGAAACGGCAACATCAATTCAACATCCACGGGAATACAATACAAAGGGATATGGACTCAGATGGCATGGCTGGTAACTGGAGACTTGTATCTGGTCATTACAAAGTCAAATATCCCAGGCGTATGAGACATAATAAATAAAAAATCCAACATTGATTTAATAGAACAATCTGTAATAATAATGTGTTGTATGAATCATTCAAAACCCCAGCTCATTTTGACTGATGAGTTCTACAGAGACCTTATCCTCAAAGGACATGGGGAGAAAGAAGTCACACAATTCACAGTTTAATTCTGCCCCAGACTGGAGGGAAGTGCTGAGGTGGCCATTTGTCCAAATCATGTCATTATACAGCGGCACAGACTCTGCCCAAGCACAAAATGAATCCAGACCAAATGCCAGTAATGGACAAGCCTGCTAATAGTGACTCAGGACCAAGTTGTACCCGTTTACTTATCACCCTGCGGAAATAGTGTTCAATTGTCCAGACTCAGTGGCAATTATGGCAACAATCTGGGCCTAGTTATGAGTGCTTTGTGTGGATAGCTGCAGGCAAGTTTATGCTGTTGCCCAGTGCACAAATAGCTGAGGCATGTAAGCTAGTGGCTCTGGAACAGGCAGCAGTTATTTCCTATTTAAGGCACCTGCTAAGCACATATGAAGTTTTTTGTACACAGTGTTTTTCCCTCATAATATATTTATAGTTCTATGTGCAATTTCATCACCCTTGTTTTGGTTAGTGTCTTCTATGGAGACACTAACCACATTTGGTGTAAAAAGTCTCCACATTTGGTGTAAAAAGTCTGTAGTATCTCATAGCTGGCGCCTTAGTTTCAGTTGGGTCATTTGCTCGTATTTCCTCTGGAAGGTCTTCCATCACATTTGCTGCCACATCTGGTGTAAAAAGTCAGTAGCATTTCAGAAGTACATAGCTAGCTTCTAAATAGACAATTATTGGACAGATGACTAATGTTACATGCAGGCATTTGTTTTGTTTGTACTGGTCTCTCCTCTGCCCTGTGTGTTCAGGTGCTGTGGGTGTGACCAAAACTGGAGCTGATTGGCCAGCTGGCTGCCAATCAGGGTGGAGAGGGCCATTTAAAAGGAGCTGTGTGCTGCCTCTTTCTCTCTCTCTCCCTCCGTGTATGTGGCTGCTAGCCCAGGTTTGTTTTGTTGGGAGGATTGGTTAGGTAAGTTTGGGGATCTCTGTACATTTCACACCACGTAGATTTTTGTTGTCACACTAGTTATCAGTTGTTGCCACCCTTGTTGTTTTGAGTTTTCCAAATTCTCTTTGTTAGACCAGGTAGGCTAGGCTTTTGATTTCTTTCCTTTTTGTAGCCTAGTTTTCAGTTAGGGCCTGTTTTGGTATACCTTTTTGTTTGTTGATTCGGCACAACTGGCCCACGCCTCCTCCCACCAACCTTTTGTTCATTTTTTGTGAACTTTAATGAATGTTTGGCTGTCAAATTAAAAGTTTGCCAAACTGACTTTGCCTCAAGGGTTGTTTTATACAAGTTGTGTCCCTTGTTGGACATAGGGGACATAACAACTAATAAGCAAAAAGGGGAAAAACTCATAATAATGTATTCTAATATATATGTGTGTGTGTTTTTGACATGCAAATACGGTTATCATTGCATTGTTCATTCACCCATACACTAGGTGGTTGTAAGCCAGTTTGTTACTTATCATTGTATTATTTACAATTTTTGCTTTACTTGTATGTTAACCTTTCCAGCAAGTGAAAACATAATATTTCAAGGGCTTATTCTAAGACTGTTACTTGACACTGTCTTTCTGAACGCCACTGAAAGTCTTTGTGTGTGGCATTCACAGCGTTAGCTTTAACTTTGAATTATTTAGGGTTTAATTTGCATTTGTCATCTTTTCCACAGTTGTCAAACAAAAAAGACTCCAGGAGACCGAGGATAAGCTGGAGTGTAGGGATGTTTTTGGCAGAGGCTGGAATGGTAGTCATGCGACATCCAAACTTGGCCCAATGCCACATTCTATGAGATGCATAGGTCAGAGCATATTTAGATGTGGAGGTAGAGACAAAGCAACTGGGACAAGACTGAAATGACTGAACAAGCTGAAGCTGTCAAAAACAAACACACAGCACCACACCAGGCAAAGGTCAGTTAGATTTGTGGGGATCTTGTAATGCAGCACCAACTTAGTGGTGCTGCATTACATTATTCTGCTGTGTAAAAGAGGCCATATGTTAAACAGAAGATAACTGCCATCACACAAGTGATTACTGCATATAATGATCAGGCAGAATGTTATGACCACTTATGTTTGTATTGAGCATAGATATTTTATTTTGCCAAATATAAACTCCTATACCAAGACATTATATAAGAAATAAGAATTGGGAGAAAGGGGTAAGTGTCTTGCTCAAGGATACAACAGTATTCTCCTGAGGCTGGGATCAAACCACGAACACTCTACCTCCATACACTAACGGTTGGTAATACGGTTGGCAAAAACACTAAATAAAATCACCAGATACCAATAGATTCTGAAAGAAGTATCATACTCAATAAAATACAAAAATGGGACTAGGTTAAACCTTTCCTTGATAGTTCGATATATAGAAGAATTATACATTACAATTCAAAATTATTCTTAATTTGTGATTAAAAATAAATAAATAAATAAATAAATAATAATAATAATAATACATTTCAATGTTTAAAGGTGTGTTTTTAATCATTGTGGTTGGAGCTGAGTCTATGGAAGATCTAAAAAGAACTGCATCAGAACCAAAAGGTGATCTTTAGTTTCTGACTTTACTGTATAGTTTAATAAAACACATTTGAAAAGACTGTTCTTTGCAAAATGCTGAATTGTTGCGCTAATTGTTCTGCTAGTCTATTCTCCTGAGGATTAGGCCTTTTCTAGTCTCGCCTTCACTCTTCAGGGCTTATTGGCTGAATCACAGAATACACTACACTTTCCTGTGGCTAGAACAAAATATATTTTTATCTAATTAGAGCCTTTCTTCTGGGAGTAAATTCCATTACATCAAACAGCCAATTAAACCAAAATACTACAACTGCATCTAAAATAAACTGCTCAGCTGATAAATGACAAAAAACAATAGTTTAAAATGCAATATTAGGTTTAAAATGTGTCTCTGATGTAATTAACTTTAAGAGTTTCTCTATACTGAAGCTGTGTTTAGAGGGTGTTGATTTGAATAAGAAAGAGCTACTATCATCAGGATCACTAAAAGTCATTTCACGCGCCAGTGTATGTCAGCTCCCATTAGCAAGGACAGCTAACTTCATCATCTTCATTCAGCTCATGCCCCTGG